CAACATCAACAGATGTTCTTTCAATAGACAGATTTCAACCAGTTTATATTTACATTGAAGATCCCTTTTTACAAGGTAATGTTGTATGCTAAAATTTTATAAGTTGTGCCATCTTTATTACATATTATTACATTAAAAATAAAAAATATATGTTAAATGACAATAATTCATTTTAAAATGTTGTAATATTTAAGAGGAAATAGCTGCTGGTGAAAATCTTAGCAATGAACGTCTCAAACTTCACAGATTTCACAAATGGTTGTATGATAAAATAGAAGAATCTTTTATTTTTCGTAATTGGCTGTCGTATAAGAAAAATTTGGCATGGAGATTTTTAAATTTAGCTCAGGATGAAAGTCAAAGTTACAGAACAAGGGCAGTCATATCATTGGCATCTCTTACCAATTTAACAGGTTTGAATTTTATATTTTTGGCTTTGAATCAGATTTATTATAAAAATCATCAATATAATTTTTGGTTCATTAGATTCCGACTATCAGCAGCTTGCTCAATCATGTGATATGAGAACGGCAATCGGCTTAGCTAGAAGTGCTAACAATTCAAAGTTTTTGTTAGATCCACCTTATTTCAAAATAAAAGCAAATCATTCTGCCATAATAAAAAATTTTCAAGAGTTTTTTGTCGCTTTGGAATCAGAGACCAAGCATCCATGTTTTCATTATTTTGTTTCAAAATTTGTCGATAGTATTTCAGATGTTGTAAGTGAAATTAAACAACAATTAAATGAATGTAATTTTAATTGTAAAAATTTTAACATCACATAAAAACAATTTTTTGTACAATTATGGTAAAATTTTTAATTTTAAGTTGAAATTAATTTTTTTTTTTGTTAATGGATAATATTTAGTTAAGCTGAGGTAGAAAAAATTAATTTGTCTTTAGGACAGCAAAAGTTTTGATGATGATTTAAAGGTCAAAATTGACAACAAAAATTTTATTCCATTATGTTTAGAAGCTCTTCTTCATCATTCATGGACCAATGAAAATGCCAAGCGTCAGTATTTCTTTTTTTTTTTTTTTTTTTAAATCATACCTGAATTATTATAGTATTCATTTAAATAAATTTTAGAAATCGTTCGTCTCGGTGGTTTACCTTTGCTTACGGAAGTTTATAAATATTTACAAGAAACAGAAAATTTGGAATCCCTTATAGCACTTTCAAAACTAATTTCAAATATATCAGCATGTTCTGAATGTGCCAATGCTTTTTTTATTTCCGGCAAGTATTGATAATTAAATGAAAAATTCATTTTTTTTTTTTATTTTATTAAATTTTCAATTTCATTAAAATTTAGATATTCGATAGGTTGGATAAAGCTTTTGAGTACTTTATCTCGGCACAAAGATATTCGAGTTTCGGCACCTGCTCAAAAAGCCCTTTGCAACTTCGATACGGATGATCCAATACAAAAAGATGTAAACGTGTATTCATCAAGAGTTTTTCCTCTTCATCCAACATCAAGAACTTTACTAAATCCTAAATTAGATGTTATATTTATTCACGGATTGCTTGGCGGAGTTTTTATAACTTGGAGACAGAGAGATTTTGGTCATTGCACTCATAAATCACCTTTAGAGCTCTTAGGTGAGCGTGTAACGGTTAAAATTATCAGGGGATTATAATCCCTTATGTAATAATAATACCTCTTCTCCCATTCCTACCGCAGCTTCCAAAAAGGTTCCTTCCTTTCCTCCTCTTCAACCGGGTTTGACATTTTTCGACAAAGAAAATGTTGTCACGTATCAAATGAACAAATCTTTCGATCAAGAATTTTTTGTAGATGTTCGAGATTTCAATAAACGGGAAAAACTTGCTGAAGGCTACGAATTCGTTTTACACGATATTCCAATCGATTGTAATTTTGATTCGACTGGACCTTATTATGGGTACGTCATAAAATAATAATAATAATAATAATAATACGTTGGTTTCTGCAAATCTGAAGTTTAAAATTTTTTCTTGTAGTTCACCAAAAGAAGAAGATTTAGAGGGGAATCTGACGAGGTGTTGGCCGAAGGATTGGTTGGCAAAGGATTGTCCAGAAATTAGATTAATAGGAGTAAATTATGAATCGAATATATCGCAATGGACTCCATTATGCCCACTTGCACCTATGAGGTACTTGTTACCACGTCCGAGTTCCTAAAAAATTTCTAAAAAATTATTTATTATTTATTTATTTGCATTTCAGCGGTACAATTTTGGAAAGAAGTTTTCATCTTGTTAATATTTTATGCGAAGCTGGAGTTGGTAAGAGGCCCATTGTGTGGATAAGTCATTCCATGGGTGGCCTCATAGTCAAAGGAATACTTAGCATTGGTGTGCTTTAAAATTTATTTTGTGGTTTTTTTTTTTTTTTTTTTAAACAATTAGTTAAAATATTTTTTATATTCTTAGCTCATTCTAGTTCCAATCCTCAATTTCGCTCTCTATTAGACCAAACAAAAGGGATAATTTTTTATAGCACCCCCCATAAAGGATCTCGATTAGCCGCGTTAAATACAACGAGTCAAATGATTGTATGGCCCTCGATAGAAGTTCAAGAACTAAGAGAAAGTAATAAAATTCTGCTTTTCAAATGGAAAATTTTGATCAAAAAAATGTGGTATTGCCAAAACTATATCAATGATATTTTTGTAGATTCTCCGGGTCTTTTAAAACTCCACGAAGATTTTCTTCGTCTAACATCTGAAAAACCAATCAAAGTGGTGACATTTTCCGAAAGGGAATCAACATATATAACGGCATTAAAATTCGAATTACAATTTGTCGATTCTCATTCGGCTTATCCTGACGTGGGAGAAAATTTTGGTATACCTCTTGATCACCTTTGCATATGCAAACCATGTGGAAGGTGTGGAATTTAATACAATAATTATTATTATTATTATTATTAATCATGTTTTTTAACAATATATTAAATTTGTTGTTGTTGTTGTTGTTGTTTCAGGCAATCGTTTATATATCAAAAAGTTAAACAATTCATTCAAGATATTATTAAAGAAGAAAAAAAAAAATAAAAAACTATAATTAATATAATACAGTAATATATATATAATAACATAAGGAATGAAAATTCATTTCGTTTTTATTTTCTTTTTCTTAATTTATTATTATTATTATTATTATTATTAATTATTGCTAAATAGAATTAATTTTTTTTTTTTTTTTAAATCGATTTTCAGTAATGCTACGTAAATAATTTTCATAAGGTGTAATTATTAAAGAGATTAACAACAATAATAATTTTGATTATTTATTATTTTGTGATGAATATTTTATTTAAAATTATTTATTATAAATAAAAAATAAATTTATAACAAAAAAAAAAAAAAGAAAAAACATTTTTATTACTACTATTAATTAATAACGACTAATATTATTTATTTGCCATAAATATGGAAGCTTTCTAAATAAATGCATAAAAATATTTTTTATAATACTTATTTTTCAATGTAAAGGTTAGAAACATAACAATAATAATAATAATAATAATGGAAGATCTCTCGTTTATTATCAATAAAATTTATTTTCTACTTCTAACAGAAGAAGTAGCAGAATGCATAATTTTAGAATTTTGTTTTAAATTCGTCGAATTTTTTTGTAAACCAGATTTAGGTTTGTTATTAATTATATTGACACATTTTGGTATGTGACGTTCGGCTGCAGCACTGCAAAATTTTCTCAAACAATGAGGACATTGAATATAATCAGAATAATCAGAAGGTGGAGGAGGTGGGAGGTCGCTAAGTTTTCCACCTTTTTTCAAATGTGCCGAGACCTCCTTAGCCGCTCTTATATTTTGAATAAATTCTTCATGTTTTTTACGCCAATCGTTTTGCGGTTTCGGTGTTTTCTATTTACAGACAAAAAAAATTTAATTAAAAATTATTTCTAAAAAAAAAAAAAAAAAGAAATTTTAAATAAAATGTCCACGACTTACATCCGGTACGTTTCTAACAGTTTTTGTTTTTCTATTAACATATTTTTCAACTTCTGTTCCTTTAACTCTTTGCTGTAGAGCATCGAATGGTTTTCTTTTAGTTCTTTTAGATTTTAAACAAACCTCCTCGTGTTTGGAAACTCTTTCTTTATCAAAATGTCTTCCGCATATTTTACAATCGACCAAATCCGATGAAATATTATTCGATTTTGTTGTTAAGTCAGATGATGGCAAACGATTCGAATAAGAAGTTTTCGAAGAAGGTGAATTTACAACACTTCTTGTTGTAGTTTTATTAACGACTTTTGTCTTTTTTTTTCCATTTAAAAAAAAAAAAATAATAAATGGTCATCAAAATTAATTAATGTGATTTTATTTGACTAATTTACCTACCTCAGGTATCGAATCATTTCTTGTTGTTGTTTTTCTAATAGCCTTATCGAGAAAATGCGTTGGTTGTACAGATTGAGGTACGGGAGTAGGTTTACGAATTTTCCTTATTGGTGAATTAACACTTGAATTTTGATAATCAGAAGAAGAAGAAGATGGCGATGACGAGGATAACGAATTTGTTAATTTACCATCTATTCTATTGATACCTTGAGATTTTTTAACGGTCGTACTACTACCACTTTGCGATACGTAATTTCTAAATTTTCTATCCATTTTATTTAAATCAATTTTTCTATTATCACAGTCGGGTATTTTATCAATTATTAATTTTTTTCTTTCCTTATTTTTATTTTTACCAATAAATTTTGACGTCACGTCTTTATCAATTAGTATATCATCATCATCATCATCATCGAATTCAACATTTTTTAAATTATTATTATTATTATTATTATTATTGTAATTATCGAAATATTCTCGATGATTTTTTGATAATTTATAATTTTTTTTTTCAATTTCCGGTGATCGAATTGAAAAATTCTTATTATTATTATTATTATTATAACCGTTATTTTTATTTAAAATTAAATTTTCATTTGAATCTAAATAATAATAATAATTATTATTATAATCGTTAAAATATTTTAATTTATTCTTTCTATCCAAACTTAAACTCCTTTCATGTGGATTCAATTTAAAATTTTTATTTTGATTTTTATTATTATTATTATTATTAGTAGTAGTATAATTACGCGTACCTGAATTTAAAGGTTCCAGCGGTTCCAACGGATAACTTTTATCACGACCGGTTATTCCAACGGTTGGTTTTCTTTCACTGGCAAATCTTCTCGACTGGAATAGATACCTGACTTTACCACCACCACCACCACCACCGCCACTGCCACCGCCATCACGACCACCACCACCACCACCACAA